AGGGTAGCAGTTGTTGGACTGATGGTGGAGAAGGTTATCTGCGCGAGGAAATCATCCCACACCCATGATGGTCGGCTGCTAGCAGTCAGGTGGCCTCCCTGACTGATTGATGCCAGTGTCGCATCGGGGCAGCGCTCATTTTCAATTGTTGAATTCGTGACTCTGCCATGGGTCGCCCCTGAAAGAAGGCGTGCAACATTTGCGCAGATTGAAAGAAAAGGGTGCTACACGCGGACGGTTTTGGTGGCCAGTTTGCAGGCAGGCCTGGCCGGCTTGGCCTTTTGTGTCCACTACTGAAGTAAAACGAGAGCGTGGAGCATCGGCAGTCAGCTTGTTTAGCGCAATGAAAGCAGAGCAGGTGTGAGTTGTGTTGAGTAGCCAGATGCCAGAAACATTTCAATTGATTAGACGCTGATTGTGGCAGTTGTCGATCCATGGGTTTGATGAACAAGCATTTTCTTTCTCTGCTGGCCGTTGCTGCCGCCCGGTCATCAAGCCCCCTTTCGCCAGAGCAGCTCAAGCCGCTGACGAGCTTTCGGCAGCAGCATCGTCGCCTGGCGCCTGCATCTTTCCGCAGGTGTTGACTCGCGCTATTTGTTGCTGTGCCAGGTCGATGGCCGGCTGTGCGCTGCCGCATTTGTCCAGGACGAGCAGGTTTTCACAGGGTGCTCAGATGTCGCGCCCTCAGAGATTTGTGTGCCGTGCGCGCTGGCGACATACTGCGTGTCCACGAGATCAGGCCCCAAACCCGCAGGGAGCTAGCGGCCGTGAATGGTGCTACGTAGAGCCGCAGGCGGGTAGCTTTGATGAGACTATAGTAGCTGGTTATAACACGCCCAAAATGATGTCTGCCAGTTGGCGGGGCAAAGCAGCCAAGAGCCTTGGGGATACTGCGGTAAGTTGCGGAGGTTTGTGTGCTGGTGCTACAGCTACAGCTCCTTCGTTTGTCCAGCGCCAGGATGGCTTGTAGTTCACATGCTGACCGCATCTGGCATCCCGTGTTTCTCGGTTGCTGCAGCAGCTGTTGTCGTTCAGTTGTAGACTATGAAGAAGTTCGCGCTGCTGCAGCTGCAGCTACAGAGGAAGAAGATCAAACAAGTCCGAAGCTACGCCGCCAAATTTGGCCAAGCCCAGCGAGCTGCTGAAGCAACTTTGGAAATGTGCGCTGTTCGTGTAGACATGGCTTGATGATGCAGCGCCCTGACAGAAAGCGCTGCGTGGGCAGGTACCGGAGAAAATGTGATGCGGTGTGATGGGCGGGTGTGCCCGCACCGCCCGCGCGTTCACAAATTCACAAACGCCTCCAAGCAAGGCGGGGCTGAGGGATGACAGGAGCAGGTCGCCCGGTATGAAGCTTTTGCCATGTTTGTCTGTGTAGCCGCGTCGCTTTTGAAAGCAGACGGCTTTGGTCAAAAGCGGGGGGACAACGCCATGGACGCAGTTGGTTGTCGAACAAAGAGGGCTGCGTTCCATGGCTGAGTATGTGGTAGTGGGGTGTCCTGGTCGGTTTGGGGGTCGCTTGCGTTTGCCTGATGAATTGGATTGCTTGTTTTCCAGCCAATCCGTGCATTGTTGGCAGGATAGGCGAACTTTGCTTGGGGAAGGGAACTTGCCGGTGGTTCGCTGAGTTTCTGTCAGTGGCCAGTGGCGTCTACACGTACAATGGATGTTTCAGAACCTAGCCATGTCATGGCGACAGGATAGCAGTTGTTGGACTGATGGTGGAGAAGGTAACGCGCAAGGAAATCACCCCACACCCAAGCGCATGATTGCCTGAGGTTACACCCAAACAAACGATCGCCTTTGATCAAGACACACATTATGTGGTTCCATCCGAAGCCTCTCGTCAAGCTACCTTTTAGTCACTTGATGGTCGGCCGACAGACTTCCAGAATGTCAAGGGAGGCTGTCAACTTTTGAACTGACGGGTCGGGTCGGCCATGGTGCGCTCCTGCAGGTGTGAGTTGTGCTGAATGGCCAGCGACCAGAAACATTTCAATTGATCAGACGCTGATTGTGGCAGTTGTCGATCCATGGGTTTGATGAACAAGCATTTTCTTTGTCTGCTGGCCGTTGCTGCCGCCCAGCCATCAAGCCCCCTTTCGCCAGAGCAGCTCAAACCGCTGACGAGCTCTCGGCAGCAGCATCGTCCCCTGGCATGCGCATTGTTCCGCAGGTGTCGACTCGCGCTGCTTGTTGTTGCGCCAGGTCGATGGCCGACTGTGCGCGGCTGCGTTCGTTCAGGCGCGGACATTGTTGTGTGTTGCCCCCGCTTGATTGCAATTTTTTGTTTTTCAGGACGAGCAGGTTTTCACAGGGTGCTCAGATGTCGCGCCCTCAGAGATTTGTGTGCCGTGCACGCTGGCAACATGCTGCTACGTAGAGCCGCAGGCGGGTAGCTTTGATGAGGCTTATAGTAGCTTGTTATTATAACACGCCCAAAATGATGTCTGCCACAGTTAGTGGGGCAAAGCAGCCAAGAGCCTTGGGGATACTGCGGTGAGTTGCGGAGGTTTGTGTGCTGGTGCTACAGCTACAGCTCCTTCGTTTGTCCAGGATGGCTTGTGGTTCACATGCTGACCGCATCTGGCATCCCGTGTTTCTCTGTTGCTGCAGCAGCTGTTGTTGTTCAGTTGTAGACTATGAAGAAGTTCGCGCTGCTGCAGCTGCAGCTACAGAGGAGAAGATCAAACAAGTCCGAAGCTACGCCGCCAAATTTGGCCAAGCCCAGCGAGCTGCTGAAGCAACTTTGGAAATGTGCACTGTTCGTGTAGACATGGCTTGATGATGCAGCGCGCTGGCAGAAAGCGCTGCGTGGGCAGGTGCCGGAGAAAATGTGGCGCGGTGTGATGGGCGGGTGTGCCCGCGCCGCCCGCGCGTTCACAAATTCACAAACGCCTGCAAGCATGGCGGGGCTGAGGGATGACAGGAGCAGGTCGTCCCGGTATGAAGCTTTTGCCATGTTTGTCTGTGGAGTGTCGCTCTTTGAAAGGAGTGCAACTCCAGGACGCAGTTGGTTGTCGAACAAAGAGGGCTGCCGTCCATGGCTGATACCATCCTGGGACGGCTTGGCCCGTGCTTGTATTGGTTGGTTGGTTGAACGCCAGCCCCCTCTCCCACCAAATAAAAAACAGCGTGCGGTCAATATGCCTTGTTTAGTTGAATGTACTTGCTAGATGTTTGGCGCTGGCTGCTCCCAGCTTCTTAAGGTGAAGCGCCTGTGCAAAACTCATTCGCCTGATGAATTGGATGGCCTGTTTTTCCGGCCAATCTGCATTGTGACACGATAGGCAAACACTTAGATCTGTGCATGCAAACGCGGACGCAAAGACTTAAGCTTTGGGAGCTCTGTTTGGTTCACTGGGCTTGGCAAGTAGGCTGCTTGGTGAAGGGCTTCCCTGCAAGGATTGCGTGTGCTGTCAGGTCGCTGGGCTTTTGCGCTTGGAATGCTTGCAGGGTGAGTGAGCTTGGTGGTTCATTGGTCTTGGCAAGCTTCAGGCTCACCTCAACTTGTTGATGGTGCTTTATTGTGGGTACCATGTGTTGAGAACAGTCCCTAGGCTCGAAGATGTTTGGGCCAGGGTGTAGTGTCACCTGCTTGGGTTAAGGATTCATTTAAACTTCTCGTGTCCTTGTCTGGAGTTTGTGTTCCCCTCTAATTTGGTTCATAGGGGAACCTAGTAGCCATGATGTCTTAGACGCTTGAATTGGCACTTTGCTTGTGCTAGTCTTGACCGCGGTGATTTGCTCTGTTGTGATTGGTGTCTAGTTTTCGCCCTGCGGTTGCTTGACCTTTGTCCCGCCCGCCTCCCTAACACTGGCGGGTGTTGTTGCCCTCCATCACAGATTTTCTACTTTGGCCTTGTTGGAGATCGGAAGTGTACACTGGGGTGGGACTGGATACGGCCACCATTTCCTTTATGCTTTGAAGGTAAACATCGAGGTCTGTGATCTTATGCTTGTGTGAGCAGCGTCAATGCCCAGGTTGGGTGGAAAGTGAAGGCTGTGGTGCTGAAATTCTCCCACCCACCCACCCCTACTTGTTGGTGTATTGTCTAGCCCAACTGCCTGGGGTGGATCTGGCATCAGTCAGGCAGGTGCTGCCTAGCTGCTGCCCTGTGTTGATTCATGTGGAAAAGAAAGGGAGTGTGCTTCAGGAGTGCAGGGTGTCGGTGTTGCTAGTAGGGTTTGCGATCCGTTGGCCTTAAGGGAGAGACATGGCCACAATCCTCCTAAGCTGATGAGGGCTCAGTTGTCAGCCTGGATTGAGCTGATGCGTTTGTTAAAGCTGATGGAAAAGCGCTGAGGGGTTATGGAGTGGATACCTAAAGCATCTCGGTGTTTGTTCTTTGGTTGTGCTTTTGTGTTTTGTGTGCCCCGCCCTCTGCTACCCTGCGGCGCGCAGGGATAGAAGCTTTGCGGCCACGCTTGTGCAGCAGCGTTTTAAAGGAATAGGTTATGCCCCATGTTTCTTGTACGTGTATGCTATGCAGATTTGATGTTTCCCATACCGCTTCATGTAAAAAGGCGTTGCTTTCTTGGTGCTTGGGGGTTGGTTTTTCCTCTTACTCTATTGCGCTGTGGACGCATCAGTCTCCAGGATATGGAGTTGGATCTAGTGCTTGAGGTTGTTCTGCCTGCGTTTGGGAGATCCCTTTTGATGTTGGTCGGTGCCCCTTCACAGTGATTGACGGTAGGCTCGCGCTGTGGTCAGTTAGCGTTTGCGCTGGTTCTGCAGCGCTTGTTTGTCCGATATGGCGCTCTTCCAAGCAAAAAAGAGCCACGTATGAAATAACTTTGGAGGCGTGCAGCTGCAGCGCTTGGAGGAAGAAGGGAAGCGTGGAGCGTCAGCTGTTAGCTTCTCTGGCGCAATGAAAGCAGGGCCGGTGTAAGTTGTGCTGAGTGGCCAGAGACCAGAAACATTTCAACTGATTAGACGCTGATTGTGGCAGTTGTCGATCCAATCACCAGATTGTGACAGTAGTCCATCCAAAGGATTGATGAACACGCATTTTCTTTGTCTGCTGGCCATTGCTGCCGCCCAGCCATCAAGCCCCCTTTCGCCAGAGCAGCTCAAGCCGCTGACGAGCTTTCGGCAGCAGCATCGTCGCCTGGCGCGCGCAGTGTTCCGCAGGTCTTGACGTGTCTTGACTCACCCTATTTTTTGTTGTGTCAGGTGGATGGCCGACTGTGCGCGGCTGCGTTCGTTCAGGCGCGGATGCTGTTGTGTGTGGCTCAGACACTGATCAGATATATAAATTGATTGCAATATTTTGCAAGCTTCTCAGGATGAGCAGGTTTTCACAGGGTGCTCAGATGTCGCGCTCTCAGAGATTTGTGTGCCGTGCGCGCTGGGGACATGCTGCGTGTCCACGAGATCAGGCACCAAACCCGAAGGGAGCTAGCGGCCGTGAATGGTGCTACATAGAGCCGCAGGCGGTAGAATTGATGAGACTATAGTAGCTTGCTATAACACGCCCAAAATGATGTCTGCCACAGTTGGCGGGGCAAAGCAGCCAAGAGCCTTGGGGATACTGTGGTGAGTTGAGGTTTGGTTTTCTGGTGCTACAGCTACAGCTCCTTTGTTTGTCCAGCGCCAGGATGGCAACGCGCCCTGTGGGCAGGTACCGCAGTAAATGTGGCGCAGCGCGACGCGAGCGTTTACCAAACGCTTGCAGGCATGGCGGGGGTCAGCGATCATGTATTTGAACGTGCTTGCTTTACATAATCGTACCACCTGGGTACTCCCAAGCAGACATTTTACGCACTATAGAATTGAATCACTCAGGTTCCTCGATTCTAAAAGGAGACCACGAGATACCACGGGAAGTTTCCGACAAGGGTGCAATTTGACCTAGTTGACCTGGGCGTCGTGATTCTAAAGTGATAGAACCCTGAGATATATGTTTCCGTGAGCTTTGTACTGGTGACATGGGGACTTTCTTTGATTTCTTAGTGGCAGCCTGGCAGACATGTTGATGGTCATTGACTGATCATGATTCTATAGAGGAACAACCTTTGAGTGCTTTTTTTAGTGACAGTCATTTTTTGAGAGCTCTTTCACCCTTGCTCTGTTCTTTCAACATTGTGCTCTGTCAACTTTCACGTGGAAGGCTCGTGATGAAAGAACAAGCAAAAATATGAACGCAAGTTGGTTGGTTATGGCTTGAAGATGTTGAAGGCAACAGGTTCCAGCTATCCACCACCAGGCGCAACTGGACTCCACATAGGAGAACTTACCAGGTCATACCAGGTCGATGTATTGCCTTGTTCCACATCAGCAGACCAGAGCGGAAAGGAAAAATGAAAAGACGTTGCCGGATGTTGTCGGAAACATTCATCGAAAACGCGTCGGAAAATACTATAGAATCAGAGTGTTTTGAGCGTATAGTACTATAGGGATTCGGTCTGTGAGATGGGGGTTGTGATTCTTTAGTGTTGAATACTTCATATATACTTTCCGTGAGCTTTCACTTCGCGACATAGGGGCTTTGATTCTATAGCGTGTGCATGAGTTGGAGGGCATGATTTTATAGAGACCCCCGCGTGGGGGGGCGTGGATCTATAGTATGAAATTGGGCTGCCCAAGTAGCCATATGAATTTCCAAGGGAATATATAGCGCGATTGATGCGATTTGGCCTTTTTTAGTGGGGTAGTCCCGGGTTTGATAGGTTGGGTGATGGAGCGTACCGGGACTGGGGCATCTCGGCGTTTACTCTTTTGGTTGTTTTTAAAGACTACTTGACTACTTGCTTCTTGTTGCTACTTGCAGGAGCGTGTGTCGCGCTGCGGGTTTCTGATTTCTTGGGAACGTTGCAGGGAAATGCGTCTGCGTAAGGGAATCGCTCCACACCCCAATCCCCTTCCAGTTGAACATGTTGTTCCTTGAGTTCAGGTGCTGCCATTTGTCTGAACAGGTGTTCTTTGTTCAGGAACCGCATCCTTGCTTGCACCCTGCCCACCCGCAAAACAAGAGCGCAGCAGCTGATCACTCCCAAACCCTCTCTTCCCTAAAACAGCGCTCACGGCTTTTGGCGACGACTCCAAGGGGTGGTGCCAGGGTGGGGGCACCTCAGACCTGGCACCAACCCTGGTCCCCTACACAACCATCCATTGGGATGGTGCGATAGACTCCTAAGGCTTCGCATGGATTCGCCCATTTACTATATAGGTTTTTTTCTGGGGAGTGAAGCTTTGCGCCCATGCTTGGGCAGCAGCAAATTTAATGAGTGGGTTACGCCCCATGTTTCTTGTATGTATATGCTATGCAGGTTTGATGTTTCCCATGCCGCTTCATGTAAAAAGGCGTTGCTTTCTTGGTGCCTGGGAATTGGTTTATACCTCTTTCTCGATTGCGCTGTAGATGCATGAGTCCCAGAGGTGATGTTCTTCCAGTACTCAGTGCTCAGACACTGATCCAGTGGTTGCAGAAAGAGTGTGCAGCAAGTTGAAGTACCATGTTTTTGTCGTTGCTTTGCGTTGTGTTGAGCTCCGTGGCTTCTTCGCTTCAAATAATGCCTGGGGGCATCGTCGGTGATCAGGCGTAACAGCGCAAACTCTGCAATTATCTGACGTGCTTGTTGGCTTGAGCGCTGGGTTCCAGGTGCCAGCCCAGGCCCGTCTCAGATGGATCAGGCTGCAGTAGCGTGTATGACGCGCGCCCTTGACCCCTCGCAGTACCCTGTCATCACAGTCCATGTTCCAGAGGACAGTTTGACGCGAGCAGCGACCTGGCAGTGTGCAAGCTCATGGTGCAGGTCACAGGAGAAGACAGCTGGACAGGTCTTGCAGCCTCGGAGAACGAACAGCTTAGCCAAGTGCAAGAGAAGCTGAAGGCTGGTTCTAGTTCACGCAAGCTGTGGGCGGACCAGGGTGTTCCTTGGATAGAGGCGTATGAAAGCTTGGTTGTGAGTGACTCAGCGACTCTCCGGCAGCAGCTGCAGGCTATTAAGGGTATGCTGCCGCAAAGGGCCGGGAAAACAAGCTTCGTGGCAGCGAAAGTTATGCCAGGCTCGTTATTGACCTTCTTTTGTGACGCCAAAAGCGAGCGTTGCTGTTGGCTAGTTGATGGTTTTAAAATCAGAAACAGTTTGTTCCTTACGGCGCCGCGGCAGTGATATAAGTGCAGCTTCCTGAGAAAAGAGGATGTTCTTATTTGCCAGCAGCCAATGAGATCACCAGCGCAGGGTCAGACTCACTTCTTGCCTGTGCGCGTGACGCAGTGCAATTGACCAGCTGCCGTCAACGTTATTGAGAGAGAAGGCGCGGGCAATCCTGCCGAGTGCTACGTCGGATCCTCGTGGGCTGCTCCAGACATTGCTGGGATGAAAATGCGAGCCCGGTATGAAGGAATGAAGGCTCGACCTGCTGTGCGCCGCAACAGCTGGCCTCGCCTTCACATTCCAAGGATCGGCTGGTGCGAATGAGGCAACGCGTGTCGTCAATGCCAGTTTCATGAATGATCTTCGCAAGCGCTGGCGCTGGGTCGGGCTTGACAGGATGGCTGCTCTCCTGCACAGGTGAAACAAATTAGCTCAAAGCAATGCAAGCAGCCAAGCCTGCGTGTAGCGGACGTAGCGGCTTTTCGTTTCTCGCTCACCGATTCAGAGTGGGAACGTTAACGTTGCAGGGATACTCTGCGTAAGGCAACCACTCCACATGCCAGTCCCCTTGGGGTCCTTTTGTATTGAACAGGTGTTCTTTGCTCAGGAGTCACATCCTTGCTTGCACCCTGCCCACCCGCCCCAGATGGGAGCTGTGGTGAAATGCGCGAAGCCTCAGGAATTTTAAGACCATTCCAGCTCTGTAGCGCGCGATGGAGGCCAGGGCTGGCAAAATGGATAGACCCGTAGCCGATCAGAAGACCTTTGCAGGGAAGAGAAATGCCCATCACTCCTAGCCCAAAAACCCGGAAGCAGCTCACGGCTTTTGGCGACAACTCCAAGGGGTGGTGCCAGGCTGGGAGCACCTCAGACTTGGCACCAACCCTAGCGTTTAATATCGTTTAATCATATTTAATCACGCCAAAGTAGGTTTTTGCGCTTGTCCACGCTGTTCGCCAGCGCGCAGAGCTCTGCAGCAAACGCGACCCCCCCAAGCAAGCGCCCCAACACGGTGCCAAACGTTGTCTCAAGACAGAGGCTTTCGGCGTCTTTCGGCGTTTTTCAGATAGGTTTCATTTGTGTGAAAAGTCTTATCCGTTTTCACAGCAACTGTAAAGTGCAAGCGAAAGCATTCCAAGATAAGTGAAAGTAGCCTGCCTGCTGCTGCGTGCACCGTGCAATACTAAAATTGGCGCTCACTTTTGCGCGAGCTTGTTGCTTACCTTTCTTGAGTGTCAAGGGCAAAGCAGGCGACTAATGCGCCCGCGGGCGGGACCCATGCTTTTACCAGCGAATATCTAGACAGGGCTGAGCTTGCGGTTGACCGAGGCGATTTCAGCGATCTTCCCACATTTCCCTCCAAAAAGAAATCTAAAAACCGAGTCAAATCACCATCTTCCAATCTACCGAGTCAAACATCTCTCGCTTTGGACGGTCTTCGAAGCTGCGTGGGACGACCTCGAAAAGCAGCGCGTGGATCGACCACTTTCGACACTCCGAGGTCCAAAAAGCACTGGAATGTTTGCCTTGTTGGACAACATGTGCGGGAGGAAAGCATTCCTGGCAGGCACGCAGGCAAGCCCATTCAGAGGTTGCCTCAAAGCGCAGTCTGAGGATCTTTGCAACAAGAAAACATCGCTCCACGCACAAGACTCACACGCCACGAAGCGCGTGCGCGCTCAGCAGACCTCTGACCGGTGTGACTACTATATACCTGCTCATCTTGACAAATTCCTTCATTACACTTTCTCGAATCTGTCGGCGAAGGAAGCACGAGGTTGTTTTCCACTTGCGTGACCACTGCAGACATATTTGCAGAGTGTGGACATGCCTCTTCCAGCACACGCGAGGACATCAGACACCCAAGCTGTAACGCCCAGTTTTCGTGGCGTTTCGCTGCGAGAAAAATTTTGCAGCAGGTCATGACCCACGACTGCGCTTGGTGGGCAAATTAATTGAATATAATTGAATCGCACATAAACCAGGCACGCAGCGGTGCAGCTTTCAAGAATCACGGATTCTTTTCGCATTGACGCTTTCTTTTTGACCCCAAACATGGATCCGCGTGTGTTTGGTATCTCTTTCACTTGACGGTTGATTTGCCGGACTAGCCTGCAGCAGCGCGCTATCCCTCCTCCTTCCTTGCTCTCCTGCGTTCCTTCATTTTGTCTTTGCAGCTTGTGTACGCGAGCGTACAACAAACGGGGATTTGCTTGCAATGACTTGTTCCAATCGGTTGGTTTGACGTTCTGGTCACCATTCTGTTTGAATGCCTGAGTTCAGCCAAGTGGGGTTGCTCATG